GGGGTGGGGGGGAGTGAGGGGGAAGGAGGGAGAAAGAGGGGAGGCGGGAGGACAGAGAGTTGAGGAAAAGTAGGAAGAACGGGCCTGAGGAGGAGAGAAGAGTGGGAGGAGGAAAAGAGAGCAGGAAGGGGAAGGCCCACAGATCCTCCAGCCCCTCAGCAAAGCCCATTAGCTCGCCCGGCTCTGAGAAATCCCAAGCTTAGAAGTCAATGTTTGGGGCCGTGTCACTACCCACGCTGAGTGCGAGAACCCTTGAATTTGTCCACATGTAAATATAGTTTGCTTTAAAGTAAGGAGCTATGTAGACATTGGAAAAGATACACACACACGGTGAAAGGACATTTGCGGTTAGACCAATATTCAAAGCTCCTTTGTGACAGTCCTAATAGATGCATATTTAAAATTCACTAGCTTTGTGTAATTATCTATTTATTATTCTCTCCAAAGTTGCCGCTCCTTCCTTTCTCTCTCTCTCTCTCTCTCTCTCTCTCTCTCTCTCTCTCTCAGAATTTCAAGATTGGGGGTAGGGAGGGTGGAATAACCCCCTATTATTCTGAGTATTCGTCAATTGCATTATTTTGGCAGAATTTAACATAAAAAATAAGCACCACTTTTCCTTCCTTCGTTTTCTTAAATGCCAAATCTGCCGGATAATTTAACTGAGAGTTTATCAAAGTGAAGAAATGCTCACATTTTATAAGTATTTACCTTGCAGAGGAGGGAAAAGGTGCTTTTCATTTATGTGTCTCCTCCACCTCCCTCTTCTCTCGGGCTACATCCTCCGTAAAATGTGGTATGTTTCCGTGCCCATGTGGGATGAGACAGCCTTTGATCAATGTGCTCCCCACTAAATTCCAATCCCTGGGAAATGCTGGGCCTTAGCCCTGCCCCTGGCCACGGGATCCTTTTAAAGCCCCCGATTCGCAATCTCCCCATTCACTTCAACCTTCAACCGAACCTCCCCAGTTCCAAAGCCCCAGGAGCTGGGATTGCAGGATCCGCATTCCCAAGGCGCCTAGGCAGCTTCCAGCAGCACTCAAGGTGGGCAAGGGCTGGCTTCGGTATACTGTTATTTCAGGATTGAGGCCCTCACAAAATAAACGCATTTGAGGAACGAAAAGAAAAGGAGAGAAAACAGGAAGCCTTTAAAAAAAAAAAAAAAAAAGGAAAGCAATAGACGCCCACCCTTATTTTCCCTTCAATGTCAACAAGCAAAATGAAAATATTTCCAGGGTGATCACTCGCAGCTACCCGGCTTCCCATTCGGATTAGAAGCTAAGCAGAAGCTGGAGAAGCGAGGAGAGAACCACACCGAGTCGCCCCGCGCGTGAGCGACGGTCTGGAGCAGGAGAGAAGGGGAAGGAAGAGACACACGTAGATAGCATGTGTTACCTGGTTTATTTCGAGATTGTTTGGTACTGTTTTCTCTCGGGGCGCCTCTCATTTCGGAAGGCCGTCAGAAGCGCCCACCACTGAGCCGCCCCCGCCC